GCTGTCGGTAAGCAGTTCATCAGAAAACTCGACCCACGCACACACGTCATCTGTAACTGGTGACAAAAGTAATGCCTTCTGTTCGTTTACTAGAGTGTTGTGGGTGAGATTTATATGCTACAAGCCACACGTTCCCAAAATCTCGCGCGACGTGTTAGAAATAAGTGCGAGTTTCTATTACGACGAATACTAAAAATAGCACTTTTCCGTATATACGGGTGGAGAATCCAGGCAGCTTGTTTCACCTTAGTGAGTATACTTTAGGCTGTGCTCCCATGAGGCCTTAGGTGACTCTGACAAGCAGCGCAGTCAAGCAAATAAAACGTTCAAGAAGATAGGTCCACTTTTAGTGGCCTTTGAACGCATAATTTGTAGATAACTTCCGTCAGTACTGCTGTTAACCGTCAGCACTGGTAACATCATCCATTGCACGTGACTCCAGAAGTCTCAGATGGAAAATCATGGGCAGGTAGTTAACAAACTGCTTTTGCGTTCAACATTTGGCAAGTCGAAGACCCGGGCAAAATGCCTGACCGAGGTTTGTGAGCTTACTGGGCCCGCGTCGTCCATGCCGTGACTAAACGCTCCAAACGATAGTGCATGTTGCGGTAATATACACTGGTGCCGCCGTGCGGGAGAGTAGATTCTATCTTCCTTATACCCCGTTGCACCCCAAAAATGATGCACCCTTATAGGACTGAAACTGGTGGCAGTGCTTACAACCGTATTTCATCAATGAGTGGAAAGAGAAAGAGCCTAGCACTTGAGTGTCTTTTACATGTTTGCGCAATTTTCTTTATTCCCGTATAACGTATACCTCACCTCGTTATACGACGAGCCACAATAAAATTTTCGTCGTCTTCATACCACTTATTCGTAGATTTGTCTTTGAGGTACTGAACCGTGCTTTGAAATTCTACACTTTCTCAGTAATCATTGGAACGAGTGGGATTTGTACAAATAAAAGGTGAAATATTTTGACCACAAGAGGTGGTCGATTGTTTATTAATAAATATCTGAACATTCTGTGTTAACAAAACATTAATCTACGAGTAGGCTTTCTAATTTGTAAGTTGCAGATATTTCGTCAACAAGCGAGGGGACATAATCGGTGAGCGGTTGGGTGGGTCAGAATCAATCGCTCAGCGACGTACAATCTACACAGCAAAGATGCATCACACGTACATTACGTGCATCACGTACTCGCACGTCTTTAGAATAACCTTGAAAAGAGAGCTTAATGCTGACAGCATTGTCTGAGCAAGATGTAATGTTGGTATATCTTGTTCATATGTCATTACGTCATACCCTGAAGGTAGATGACCGTAAATATAGCGACAAGTAGGCACAGAGCTGGATTTAGGGCGCGAAAGCAAAATCTATACTAAATAGTTACAACGATTAGAGGCGGGTTATTAAAAGTAGAAGTTTCATGTCACACAGGGTTGAGTCAGTAATGAGAAGAGTTGGGGAGGGGAGAGGTTCAATATGGATTCATGTGTCTGTCATCTGTTTACACAGTCCCTACAAGAAACCACCATTTTCTTTTTCATACACAGATTTAATTAAGAAATCTGGGTGCCGCAACATCTGCCCAGAGCTGAAGTGAACTGGCGTTTCAACGATGAACTACTTGGATCTAGGTTGTTTTTTTCCAAAGAATCCGTATTTAAAAATGCTTTGTAGTGGACGATGTAAAGGCTCTAACAGCTGATTCGAAGCCACCATGATGAATGCTACGCGCTCACTTGCACTCGAGGTGTACAGATGAGATTTTGTAAACTTAACAGGCAGAACAGAAAGGCGTGCCATTTTGACAAGTACACTTGCGGAGATAGGTGCGCTGCACCGCATAACGGGGACGATAATATGTTCTATTATTGACGTCATTACTTGTAGCTGCCAGCCACATGCAAGCGGCCATTTTCTGCACAGAAGTAATAAGCTCTTTAGAAGTAGACGATGAGGATGACCACCTCGCGACAGGTATGGAATAGCCGCTTTTTTAACCATCCATACAGATACAAAAATCTCGATGGTACCAGCTGGCGGGACATAGTCCATGTGTTGTTGTCTGTGTATTCTGTCCTGGCAGGATCAACCAGAAACTTTTTTCTGTATTTTAGAGCTATGTCCCTCCATCTCCTTCCGGTAAATCCATCATAAAAATCGGTTTAAGTTCACAAAAACTAGCCGCGAACAAAGAATTGCAGAAAAAGATGATACGACATAAGTCTCATAATTGTGCTAATTTCTTAAGTTAATGATAAGTGCATGGATAACTTGAAGGGAACGCTACAGACCTCTTATTCAGGGCTACAAAATATGGGCATTGAGTTTTCACTTCGGTCAAAGCTTACTTAAGAGTTCGTCGTGTACGTGAGATCACTCAATTCTGAAAAGCCTCGAAGAAACGTACAGCTATTTCATCCCCGCTAGGGAGATGAATAATAAGTTTACAAGGCGAGTGAAACTTTCGTATGAGGATTTGTCACTCAAGAGCCTATGAATAGGTGACCACTTGATGTGGGCTTAGTAAAGGAAGGATGAGTGGCGATATACCCTGTCAAGGCGTGATTCAATCACAATCTGCTCAACTGCTCATGGCCGAACGGTAGGGCGCTCAAAGTAAATGCCGGAAGGTCACGGATTTCGTGAGATGCACACGGTTTATGATTTCCAACAAAGATGGAGCAACTTTACAATGTCTCCGGGTTTTAGCACAGATCGGTCCCAATTACAGGACGAAATCTCGATTGAAAGTACCGGACCTTTTGAAACTACCGTCGACAACGATTTATCCTGAACAAAATATTGTTCACAGTCCTCACTTATGAGGTTGCACTCTGTAGAACTCTAAAACTGGCAGTAGTTCCACATAAAAACCCGGGCGCGACGCGTGCTAGAAGATACCGCTCTTATCAAATACTGTTAGATCGTTTACGTAATTGTCGCAATGCAGTTAGCCGTCACACCCCGAATCAAATTTCTCAGGTAGAACTAGCTCCCCAGGTTTTCTTGAATGAACACTGTTCATTGGTTCTCCGAGAACATATCCGGCAACATTCCGAATAACGTGTCAGTTGAAAAATGAGGAGGCCATTGTCGCAATGCAGTTAGCCGTCACACCCCTAATCAAATTTCTCAGGTAGAACTGGCTCCCCACGTTTTCTTGAATGAACACTGTTCATTAGTTTTCCGAGAACTCTTCCTTTAGCAACATATCCGGCTACATTCCGAATAACGTGTCAGTTGAAACATGAGGAGGCCGCTGTGAAGCATGTTTAGTTGAGGCGTATCATAGATGAGAGTTTCAGCCAGAATTCAGTTGAGTCTCTTGTTCAAACCAAAGTGGTGTCTAGGTGAGTGTATTAATGTAATAAACCTCGTATAAATTGCTAGATAGCGGAGAGGAAAATTACAATAAATTTAAGCAGGACTTGTTGTAGGCAGACCTTTCTAGTTATACCTGCCATTGGTAATTGATAAAACGAGCATAGCCAAATTTGAGACATCTAGGGTGGGCAGGTTTGAAATTGGCCAAATTTGAATAACAATCCGTTTCTGCCCAATAACACCGAAGAAGTGGCTTCCAGTGGAAATTTCTTCTTTCAAATAGGTGCAGAACAAAACACAAGCGCATCATTTCTCTTGACACCCAGGCACCAAATGTTTAATTCGACCGTAGTATGGATCCAAAAGCAGTTTGTGGTTCGTTTGAACCAAGCACTACCAGAACTTCAAATTAAAATTCTTCCCGCCTCATTACAAGATGGAAATGATCTACTTAGAGGATAACTGCTGTCAATTATTTGCCAACAAGATAAATTAGTGTACACTAACCGGCAGACGGTCCTGTGTGAAACTGAAAATCTATTAACAAGCCTATACATGGTCCCACAAATGACCAGTCTTGAAAATAATTTACCAAGTTCTCTCTCCCTAGAGAGACAAATACTTACAACCAGGATTAAACCGTCGATTTTTGGTCGCATTATATTACCAAACAAGGAACAATACTGTGATTTTTAAAGTCGGAATTAGGCTGATATAATTTTTAAACCATCGACAGACAGCGTTCATTAGCATTCGACCGATCTCTTGCTTCTGTTCACACACTTGCCCCTTTAATATTTCAGCATTGACAGCTGAGACGTGATCCGTACTTTCTGGATACTGCGTTAAAGTTCACTCATATATTGGACATCAGGATACTCATTTACCTAATAATTAACGTTATAAAATAGGCTCAAAGAATTTTTAGAAGCAGTTATTAACTTTCGGAACTCAATCAGTGGTCACACACTAGGACGTTGTCAAGGTGCCCGCAAGCATTCAAAAGACATTTGTTCAAGAGTGAAATTGAAGTAGAAGTAGTGGAAGTGTAAAAGGGACAAAAACGATGAATCACAGACAGGAATTCCGTATAGGGTTTGGATGAACTTAACGCTCAACAGACAGGCGGATCAGTTCAGTCAGACCAGCCAAAGAGTTGAACTATATAAGCAGGTGTCTCGTGTTGTACAAAGCCTTAGTGCGCGCAGGTGGAGGACATAATAAATGAGCTGGAAATACACTACGCATAAACTTGCTGAAGGTTCTTCGACAGCACAACCGGTTTCGCCGTTCTTGAAAACATCATAAAAGAGAGATTCAGATTCTAGATGAGTCTCCCGCAAAGCCAAATTTGTTTGGAAATGAGTGTATTTTGCTAATGAGCGGGAAATATTCATGACATGGTGCCCTAACCCATATATAACAGAAGGCACTGGCAATAAAATAAACAACAAAGGTTTGCAATGACTCGCAAAGTGTGGAATTAGTGCGTACCGCGAGTTGAACAAAATTCTATCCTCTTAAATTTTTTCGCAGTCTTTTACTTTGTGGACGCCGAGGTGAATCATCGAAGACCATGAGCTAGATTGTTACAATACACAACGTTACCTTAGAGATGTTTATAGGCACAAGATTTGCGCGACACTTTTGAACCTATAAATGCGCAATAACTCAACATTAACCAACAAAAACCGGAATGCAGGCCGTCGGATTGTCTATCCTGCTGGTTTTTGCCAGCTGCATTGCCATGGATGTTCGTAATGGTACCACACCCGGTAAGCTGAACACTGATATTAACTTATTCGAGCATGCTCCATGTCCTGAGGAAAAACAAAGTATTTCAAAATCCTGTAAGTTAAGCTGAACGGTTCTCGAAATATGAAATTTCCCGTCACAACCCAGCCGCATATCAGACATATCCGTTTGTATATTAAAATTACCGACTTAGGATTGTCTGAAATACTAGGCTGTTATTCGCTTCTGGCATTTATTTATTCAGGATACTGGTGGAAACCAGTGTCAGCTGATAACCACGCAAACAGCTTTCTGTGATATAAATTCACCTCTCAGAAAACGAAGTCCATCGACGACGGGACATTAACCGGTCTGGAACATTGCGTCTGGTTGTGCCAAAGTTGTCTTTCAAAGCTCAGTCTTGACCATGGCGTTTCCCGAACTCACTCATGTGCACAACATTGGTGGGTAGAAATTCTTCAGAAATCTGACCAGCTGTTTTTGAATCAGATGGTTTCTTCATAATTTCCACCATTCTGAAAGAGGATATTTTTATTATATTTATATGCTAAGACTTAGTGACAAATTCTTTAGCCTGCGGAAAACACCCTCATAAGGATCAAATACACCGAAATTCCTCATTGGAACAGATAGACAGTTCTGACCAGGAAGTTTTCTATAGATGTTTTCTTTGATAGGGTGCTCAACTGTATTTGTTCTACCTGTGTCCTCATAGTTCCAGGCTGACCTAAACGAGCGGAGGCAAATTCTTCATTTCAAATAGCTTGGCCGCTGGAAGAAGATTTGCAACACCAACAGTTCTTGATAGTGTCACCCCCGTGGAAAGATGTATTCCCTGTAATGATGTGAATTCAGTCGTGAGTTTACAGAGCGGGCCAAAATAATCAAGTTCTATGTGCGTAGAATAGAACCGTAATTATTTGGCTGTGGCAGAAAAAGCAACTGAAGAAAGACAGCATGAAAGTCAGATTTAGCTGGAGTTCAAGTGAGTCCTTCGCTAAAACCAAATTGTAATTCAAATGGGTGTACCTGTCGATGTGAATTATCTTAGTGAAATGGCCAAAGATCACTTGATTGGTGGGAAATTGTTTTTCCCACAGAAAGCTTGTATTGAGAACCCGCTTATAAATAAGGTCTACTTACAACGGGAGCTCTGGGAAAGAAATGTAAACCAGGCCGCTTCAATGACGCTTGATCTTACCAGATCTCCGATTTCATTACTTCGCGTAACACATACATACATACTGGCTGAAAAAGTGCATACAATTAGAGATCAAGGTCCTATGAACAGATCTAATATATGAATTGCTTAAAGGTTTGATTATACCCTTCGTCACTCTGTTACTTCCGTGATTTTTATAATATCTGACAAGTGTCAAGAAAAAGCGGCTAACAAGAGTTCATGTTAAACAACGGTGGAAGGTAATGCACCCTATGAACGCAATCCAAGTAGTTGATTTTGTTTCTGGTTTATATTTGGCTATACTTTCAGTTCACCGGTGGTTGTGGTTTCGACAGCTTGTCAGAACTCAGAATGCTAAGAAGCCTTGACGGTTTGCATCCGAAGTTCATTAACCGATGTGAAACTCATGAGGAAGCAACTCATAAACAAAGAGTAGAACAAATATTAAAACGGGCTCAAACTAGAAGAACAGCTGTCATTGAGCGAGATTTTTCGTTGGTTATTTTTTTTTTTTTATTAATGTAGAAAAAAGGAAAGACAAAACGGATGAATGGTTGGTGGTACCCACTTTTTAGGTGTTGATGTGCACTGGAAAATAAAAGTTATTATTAGTGGTCGTTGGCTTGTTCGCTGAGCGGGGCAATTCGATTGCAAACATTTCTTCTTCAAGCTTGAAGATGAAGACATCACAAAAACGGCAACAGAAACAGCAAGCCACCAGACGGGTAGTCCTGCCTTACATCAAGAATATATCAGAACTCGCGACCAGATTATTGGCTCAAAAAGGAATCTTCGTGGCCCACAAACCTAATGCTACCCTGAGGAAATTAATCTCTAAACCGAAGGACAACTCGAACAAAACCAAGAGGAGCAATGTGATATACCAGCTCAACTGCAACAACTGCAACAAATTCTACGTCGGACAAACTGGCAGGAGACTATGCACACGAATAAAGGAACACAACGCGGCCGTCAGGAGGCATGACCCCCTGTCCTTGATATCCATACACGAGGACCAAGAAGGCCACAAATTC